TGCTTCCCTGTTACTGGGAGGTGAGCAGCTTTCCTCTGCTGTGCCCTTTTATCATAATACTTCACCTCACCTTAGGCTCAGAATAATGAATGGAGCCAGCAGACTATGGACTGAACATCTGAAACCATAAGTCAAAATAAATGTTTTTTTTGCTCTAAGTTGTTTTTAATGGGATATTTTGGTCAGCAACAAAAAGCTGACTTAACACAGTTGGTTTAATAGTAGGAAGCCAATTTATATAACTGACCCCATTAAAAGAATAAAGGCAGAAAAAACATGATTTTTCTCAAAATATATAGTAAGAAGTTTTGATGAAACTCAACCTGACTTATGATGATTAAAAAACTTCTCAAACTTAGAAGAGACATTTCTAAATTTAATAAAAAGACTTTAAAATGCTTGCTTACAGGATGACTTAAAAGCATTCCCAGAGAATAGAAGAAAAACAGGCCATGCTTATTAAAATCAGTTCTATTCAATATTGTGCTGGAGGTCCCCACGAATGCAATTTCACAAGAAAAAAAGATGCGAGAACAGAAAGACAAATAAATTCGTTATTACTTGTAGATGAAACACACTTTTATATATAAAGTCAAAAGAATCTACAGATAAATTACTAGAATCTGTAAGAGAATTTGGCAAGGTTGCTGAATAGTAAAGTCAATTAAAAAACTGTATGTAATTATATCTCAGCAACAAACAAAAATAAAAAAACTTAAAAGATACCATTTTTAAGCCAAATATGGTGCCATAACCTGTAATCTCAGCTACTCAGGAAGATAGATGAGGAAGATAACATGTTTGAGGTCAGCTTGGTCAACTTAGTGAGACCTTGTCTCAAAATTTAAAAGAAATTTTTAAAAAAGGCTGTGGGGTATAGCTCAGTGGTAGAGTGCTTGCTTAGCATGTACAAGGCCATAAATTCCATCCCTAGTAGGACAGAGGGGTAAAAAAAAAGGCAAGATACCATTTATAACAGCATCAAAAAAATATGAAGAATTAAGAAAACAAGATTGATTTAATGAAATACATGAACTTCTTCTGTGAAGAAAATCATAAAACTTTATCAGAATTTAAGAAAGACTTTTACTCTGGAAAGATTACACATTAGTTCACCAGAAAATGCACTATTATAAACAGAAAATTGTTCACAGACTAAATATATTCCAATCATAATCTTAACAGATTTATATTCTTTAGTTGAAATTTGATGTACTAATGGTAGAATTTGTACAAAACTGCAAAGGACTGCTGGTAGTCAAAATCTTGAAGAACAAGGTCTAGAAAGACTTGTTTTTACCAATAACATTCCAAATAAAATTCAAGCTATCTAATTTTTAAAAATGGCCAAATGGTTTGGACAGGATTTGTCTAGAGAGAAAATCCAAAGGATGTGGAGATACTTAATTCAAAGAAATGAAAATTAAATAAGGAGTTACATGTTAAATATTCATCATTTGAAATGCTTGGGACCAGAAGTATTTTAGACTGGTTATTTCTTGAATTTTGAAATATTTGGTTTTACTGTTTACAAATCTTTAATCAGAAATCTGAAATGCCTCAAAATTAATAAGTGTTTGAGTGATAGTGCATTTCAGATGTTCAGATCAGGAATTTACCCATTACATATCCAGAGGATTTTTTTTTAAGTTTTGTAGTCTGACAATACCAAATGTGGAATTTTCTTTTTTTAAAAATTTTCTTTTAGAGAGAGAGAGAGAGAGAGAGAGAGAGAATTTTTTTAATATTTATTTTTTAGTCCTCGGCGGACACAACATCTTTGTTTGTATGTGGTGCTGAGGATCAAACCCGTGCCGCACGCATGCCAGGCAAGCGCACTACCGCTTGAGCCACATCCCCAGCCCCCAAATGTGGAATTTTCTAACACTAGTTGTGCAAATATTGACATATAACTATTTTGGAAAAGTTAGGTATTACTTAGTGAAGTTGAAGAAACACATATCCATCCATTCCATTCCTAGATGTATTCTCAAGGTCCTATGCATGTACAATATAACTTACATACAAGGATGTTCACAGTGGCTTTGTTCATAATAGTAAAAAACTTGGAACAATACAAATACCATTACAGTAGAAGAGACATATAAGCTTGGTATATTACTAAGATGGACTACTACCAGTGAAGAAAACAAATCACAGCCACAGCACAAACATGAATGCCACAGTTTGGATGTGCTTGGTCTATCATGGGGCAGAATCTTTTAAGAGGTGGGTTACTGAGTAATTGGGCCATTGGGTGCACTGACCTGGAGATAAGATAGTTTTGTAGTTTTTGTGGAGATAAGATAGTTTTCCTAAAGAATGGGCTGTTATAAAAATAATAAAAAGCAAGACTGTCTTCTCTTTGATGTCTGGCTTCCTGTATTTCAGTATGATTTATCCCTCTGACAAATACTCCAGCCACAGTTTCTCAAATATGATTATTTAATCTGGATCTTTAAACCTTCAAAACTGTGAGCTAAATAAACTTCTTTTAAAACACCTAGTTTCAGGTACACAAGTAAGACAAAGTTAGCTAATACAATGGATGACTCTCAATGTTGAGAGAGTCACAAAATGTGTAACATTTTACTTATTAATTAGAATGTAACATTTTAAAGGAATGCAGATATCGATCAGCATACTCAAAAGTGCAGTCTAGACACTGATTAGTGAACTATTATAGGCTGATGAAAAGTTAAGTATGTACAGAAGTAAGCATTAAGAAACACTGAACAATCTGACATTGCTAATACCTAACTTGTCTCTGCAAGAGTTTGTCATGGTTTGGAAATTTTTTTAACAAAAGGTGTGAGAACTAGTACACATAACAGCTAAAAAATACATAGAAAAATAAGGAAATTATTTTCATTACAAGAACAATGATTATCTCTAGATTCAGGGGTGTGACGAGGAAAGCATAGGGAGGTTTCTAAGGTACTCATAAAATTTTATTTTTTAACCTGAGAATTGCATATGAATGTAATTCATAATTTTCTCTTTAAATTGTATATGTATTGACAGATTTCAAAGTTCTAAAAGTTTAAAAATTTGTTATATAGAATATCAATTTATTTTAAAATGTTTGTAAAAATCTATATAAAGAGCTGAACTATGCCAAAATGAATGGTGAAATTTTATTCTCTAAACCATTATCAAATTCTTACGTTGGTGCCTTTTCTTTTTTAAATAGTAGTGATCATCAGTAATTATCAGCACTGAAAACAGATTATACCAGACAAGTGCTACTTCTAAAAAATTTGGATCTCAGCAGGAAATTTGATTCCTGGCTGGGGATATAGCTCAGTTGGTAAAATGCTTGCCTTGCATGCACAAGGCCCCAGCACTACAAAAAAAAAAAAAAAAAAAAAAGGAAAAGAAAAAAAAAAAAAAAAAAAGAAAAAAAAAAATGATTCCTAATGATAGTATCTTGTGTGGTAGAAAAATGTGGACTGAAACACAGAATAACATCCCTGCATTTTCCTCCAGAATATGGATTCCAAGATGAAGTTACTTAAGAGATCAAACATCACCTCCATTGTTGTTAATAAGTTTTCTCTTTTTTAAAATTTTTTTTTTGAGAGAGAGAGAGAGAGAGAGAGAGAAAGAGAATTTTTTAATATTTATTTTTTAGTTTTCGGCGGACACAACATCTTTGTATGTGGTGCTGAGGATCGAACCCGGGCCACACGCATGCCAGGCGAGCGCGCTACCGCTTGAGCCACATCCCCAACCCCAATAAGCTTTCCAATCTGTAGTAACAGGAACTGGATAATACTCCATGAATAAATAGGAAATTAAACAGCTCATTGACTGGCATAGCCACACAACCATTGGTGTCCTTTGTGGAATGTGAAGTTAAACTCATTAAAGAATAAGTCTTTTGATCTATCTATTCTCTTCTTCCTCTAGAAGCTTTGAAATACCTCGGACCCCTAAAGTCCATTCTGCTCTAATACTTCAGTCATATTTGTTGTTCACATAGCTAACCTAACATAACCAAGTTATGTTCCTAAAGGTCAGACTATCTTCATTTTTTAAACTTCTAGCAGACTATTATGTTGGTGATAAACATCTAAACACTTTCATATTAGTGTCACAGGTTAAGAACCATATAAATAGATGCCACATTAAGAACATAACTGAAGATTTAGAATTGGACTGATGAGAAAGATAGTTACTCAGATAGTTACACAGTGCTTGTGTATGTGAGACATCCATCCTATATGTTTAATAAATATATTTCATTCTTATTATACTGAAGCAGATGAAGACATGGAAACATGGAAAACTTGTGCAAGTTCATACAATCATGATTCAACTTGGTATGACTCCTAAGCACTGAACCTCTATGACAGATTTATCCAAATTGGTATTTAGGCAATCCTGTATAGGGGCTGAGAAAGAAGGGCTCTGGAGACTGACTAATGAACTAAGGTTCATTTCAGACTCTGCTAATATCTGTGTTATATGAGATTTTGTAACCTCTATGTCTCAGATTCCTGATATACTAATTCATAAGATTAGTGCAAAAAGGAAATGTATAAGTAAGTAAAATACTTAGTGTAGCACCTAGCCCAGGGTAAGCATTCAACAAATGTTAACTTATATTTACTATCATTTCCTTGCTATTTTTGCAGAGCTGTGCCTAGGAACCAGATGTTTTCACCTGGTTGCATTATGAAGGAAAAGGGGGAAAAACATAATCAATGCTCCTGGATGTTATACAACTTAAAAGTTAATTTACTTAAAAATTTAAGAGTCTTTCAGAGCAATTGATGGCCTGTGTCTTTCACCCAGATAGACTTTCAATAAGAAATGCAAAGAGTAGATACAAAATGAGGCAATGTGCTTCTTTAACTGTCTTTCTTGGTTAGTCCCTCAGAGAGCTTAATGAAATACCAAATAAATGATTACTCTTGTTACAGAACTACTCCAAAGTATGTGTTTATAAGGAGCTTTAGAAAGATTTAAATCCTGACAGAAACAAGTGAAGTCAGTTTGCTGAAAGATTCTTTTATTCTATGAGAAAATGATGGGTGCAATTCCGTGGAACCAACATCTGTTAACTTAGAGAAATTATTTTTTTTTCTTTTTAAAAGTAAATGAAAAACCCCTTTGAATTATTTATATATTAATTTAATTTTTGAAAACAAAATTCATAGGGTCCGCTTTGTCCTATTCAACTATAAATGCTATATACGTTTACAAACCAAAAGGAAACAGATAGTACAGACATTTCAATGAAATCTTTCAAAGAATAAAACTGCTTTTCAATCCACTGTATTTTCGAAGCTGATTATCATCAAGCCCAGATGAAAGCTGTAAACCAAAAACCATGTTTCTTTAATAGAAAAAGAATGTACAGAATAAAGTAACATTTTAAAATGTATCTTCACTCAGTTGAAATTTTAGTATAAACCTGTGTATCAAGTTGCTTCCCATTATTTATTCTACTTTAAAAATATATACAACTATCATATTCAAATATGTATTCTGAGTCATATGCCCAAACATAAATACTTGGGAAATTCAAACTGCTGCAACAAATTATGAAAGAATTAAAAAAAAAAAAAATGAGCTGCAGACTATGTAGTAGGAGGAAGAAAATAAAATGTTATTTAGCATTTATGTCTTGGATATGTATTTTTAAATTTATATTTACATACCCAGTTAATTAGATAGCTGTCAAAATTTAGTCAGCTATGGAGAGATTAGACTAACACTCAACTATTTTCAACAAGATAACAGGGGCGATTTCAAAAACTTTAATATATCTCAATAGTTCCATCAAAAATGGTGATAATAGTCTGATATCATGAAGTTTGGAGAGGCACAGGTTAAATGAGTGCACTATCTATGCCAAACTTGGCAAGATCTATACCTGACTCTGTTTAATTATTGTGTAAGTATCAAAGCCATTAGAGTGCATGGGCAACCAGAAAATGTCATTTTATATATATCCATACTTATCAATCACATTAACATTAGTGCTCAAAACTTCCATATCTAAACATGAAGGGATGCTTACAAAGCTGAAGGACAACTTTGACACAAGAACCTGAATAAAAATAAATCTGCAAAACTTCTCTTCTTAATCCATTGATAAATTTTGTTTAAGGAATAGCTACTTGGTCTTTAAGAATATTAAAGGGTTGAAAACATGTTCACCCCTTTCTACACTGTGACATCTGATATTAGCAAGCATGATAACTTGAATTCATTTTGTTCTTACATGCAGAAGTGTATATATATATATATATACTTATATATATACTTATATACATATATAAGTATTTATATGTGTGTGTATATATATATGCATTTTAAGTCATCTTAGAATTAAGAGTCAGCATCTAGTCAGTAATGGTTAAGTGACTAGAACTGTTATTCAATCAATGTTCTATGGTATCACATATCAAAGTCTACAATATGACAGTCTTGTTTAGTAGTTATCACTTTGGGTGAAGAAGGGAGGCACAGAAGAAAAACAATTGCAATTTTTGTTTTTTAAACACCAGAAAATCCTTAAATAGCTACACAATTTTGCATTGTCTTGTATTCTATTCTGAAATATTTGGAAAAAAGTCTTTATTTCAATTAGCTTAATCCATACATGTTATAAGATACAAACAGTCTAAAACCTATATTGTAAAGAATGAGCTATTTCTCATTAAATGAAGATCAATAAAAATTATTAAATAGAACACACACATAGCATTCTCAATTTTAAATCATTTTAGGGTTGCTAACCAGAGATTATAGAAACAAAATGTGTAAAACAAAAAGGAAAGCAAAGATAGGGAAAAAAAAAAAAAAAACAAACAAACTTCTCAGTGCATCACACCTATGAGGATAAAATATATGGCACTTATGTGATACTAAATTACAATTGTCAATTTAAGCTGGAAATGACTTGAAGACATTAAAGCCACAAAAGGGTAGGTACTAGTCAATTAAACTTTTTTCTTAGTAAAAGCACTGGAAATGTAATGAGTGCAGATAACTCACTACAAATTTTCCTGTTTCATTTGCCCCCACTGTAGTGTCTCAAATTATTCTACCATTACAACATTCTCATCTTTAAAGTCTGTATAAACTCTATTTTGCTACAGAAACCACTGTTTGAAGTGTAAGAATGCCTTTATATAAAAAAAGAAAACCATATATAGAGCTAGTTATAAATCACAGAATAAACCCCAAAACAAAAATCTGATATTTTTACAAGCTAGTGAGAAATAAATTATACTATGATATATCAATTAAAAATTGTATCAATGTTAACTAACATTTCTATGGTAGATTTTTTCCCCCCATAAAATTAAGCAGTGCAGAATAGGGCTTGGGCTACAGTTAATCACATTTGGTTTTCTTAAAAACAACTTTATTCACTATAAACAATTTAAAGGCAGTTTTCTCCCTCCATAACACATGTAGAGATTAAATTTAAGGTTTTTAAAATATCAACTACCTATAAGAAAAGTACTTTTAAATGGCTAAAAGGAATCAAAATACCAAAGTTTAGTGTGTGAAGAGTAGATACAAACAACCAAGAAAAAAAAGTAGGTCATTGGTGTTGAGTATTTAACATGAATAGCCCAAAGTAAGTTCCAAAGTTTTTCCATCTTTACAAATTAAAAAAGGTGTCCTTTCCACAGTTTGGGGATATGCATTGTACATCTCTCCCAACAATTGCATGAGTAAAATTTTAAAATGTTGCCAATATTAAGTTCTTCAGTACCTAAAATTAGAGGACAGTAATATTACAGTGGCAATGGTGCATCAACTCTTAAAAAGTAGTTATGATCCAACACGAGTTGTGGTGGTTCTTTTATCTGAGAAAAAGCTTTTCAGAAGAAATACCTGCCCTATGCTAACCACCAGAAGAATGAGGGCTTCTCCTACTGACCAATAGGCCACTCTTGTATTTAGATCTTCTGCTCGACTTCGGCCTTGAGCTTCTCTCAATCGGAAATGAGTCTGATAGTCAATGACAGACTTGAGAGCTTCATGAATGGAAACACAGGCAGACTCCATCTAAAGAGAAATATTTTCAGTTAGTATATTTAGTACTTTCTATACACTCCATATCTAGCATATTCATCTTAACTTTCAATTTGATCTCAATTCCTCATTATATTAACAATCTCATAAACTGGCACTCAATCTTTCACTCACTTTTACCTCAGCTGTCCTGGCAATGTAACTCTTCTACTCATTCCCCCAACGACCAACTGTAAGCCTAGAGATACTATGAAGCAGTTGTCTATCCCTAACACAGGTGTGGTGTTAGTAAGGTGGTAGACTGAATACTAAGTTAACAACCAGAAATACTTACTAGCTAAGGTTGGTAGCTATAGACTTCCAAGCTCAAATTCTTCAAAGAATTAGGAAGAATAGCATAAAAACAGATTGAGTTCATCAAAGTTATTTAAAATATTTGTGTCTAATTTTTTTTATACCAGGGTTTAATATTTTTTTATTGCTTAAAACTTTAATCCAGTGATGAAACACATACTTTATTACTATTTTATTTCACAAACCATGTATTAAGAATTAAAAAAAATCTGAATTTGCCTTAATTCTAATTAAGGTATGCAGAGATGAGAAAGTAATTTAAACATTTAATAAAGTTCTACCAATGAAAGTATGACAGGAATAATTATAAAAAATTCAATTAAAGGTGCTTTAAAAATGTGAGAAAGTATAATGTTGACAAATTGGATTTATCTATTAGAATACTCATATGTTTTTGTTGTTCTTGTTCTGTTGAGGTCCCTAGGAATAAAAAATTACCAAAACTGTTCTAAAACAAGTAACCTCTAAGGACAGAGAAAGAGGTGCTTCTAGCATTTCTTTGCTTTCTATGAATTCTCAAAATGAAATGTAGTTCAAGGGTTCTGCACTTGGCAAGTACAAATAAAAGCAAGGATTTGACACAAATTCAGAATGTGTAAAATCCTTCTGAATCCTCTCCAGGAATTTGGATTAAGAACTGCCAGAGTAGAGAAAAATCACAGACATTAAGGAACTAAGTTACATGAATTCATATAATTTTTGAGATGTGCAGGATTTTTTTTTTTACACTTTTAAAGTGGAAATTTTCATACATATTCAAAAGTACAAAGAATAGTACAATGAACTCCATATCAGTAATTATTAACACAGAGCTAATCTTGTTTCATCTATATTCTCCCCACCTATTTTCCTCAATCATTTTAAGCAAATCCCAGATATTTTATCATTGCAGCTACAAATATTTTTACACTTCAGTTCTAAAAGATAACACTTAAAAAACCTCTCAAAAGTAACTCCAATGGCATTACACATAATTGAAAATAGTTCTAGCAAGTCAATAAATGCAAATTTGCTTTCAAATTTCCTCTAATATCTCAAAGTTATTTTCAAATTGGAGTTCAAATAAGGTCAACACCAGTTTTTAAAGTTTCTTTAACCTTTAGTTTCTTTTCCTTTGTTATCTATTTGTTTCCTTTGTTATCTATTTGTTGAAGAAACTGGGTAGAGGACCTATGGTATTTCCCACTTCCTGGATTCTGCTGATTGCATTCCCATGATGTTCTCTTATCTTCTGTAATTACTGAAAATTGACAGGTGGAGTTGGAGACTTGATGGAATTTAGGTGTAATGTTCTGAGCAGGGAACTCCTCATAATGTTGTATACTTCTTATAGCACATGATCACAATGTACATAATGTTGATTTTTTCTCCACTGGAGAATGACCATTAGATTTAAGTGATATCAGTTCAATCCATCCATTACAAAGTTTCTTATCAGCCTTTCATCTTATGATTTTAGCAGTGCCTGCCTATTCTAGATCTATTGCATTATTAATGGATAACAAATGGTGAGAGTGAAATTCATTCATTTATTCTCCACTTATTAGCTGAGATTTTTCTCAATTTTAAAGTATAAATAATTGCTATATGAGTAACCCTACTATATGAAATTTACTAGCTTTTTGAAAGTAGAAAAATGAGACAAAGATTAAAAATGTGATACGAATAAAGGAGGCTAAACTGCTTTACAGTAAAGCACTCATTTCCTATTTACCCGCTTAAGTTTATAGAATAGCTACTTTCTTATGTAAGTTAAAATTCACTAAAAACTAGATATAGGTTAAGCTATAAACAATAATCCCAAGGAAAAAATCAGTTTACTAAGCAAAGTGCCTTTCACACAGAATCCTAAAGAGAACTTTATAAAAATAAGAGCATTTGAATGTATCTTGTTAATGCTTACACTAGGTTTATGAATTAAAGCACATATAAAAATTTATACATTTTTCTAACTGCCTCTATCACCTGGACGTTAGCAAGAGACTCAATAGAATTTCTAAACGCGGAGTTTAACAAATACGTGGCAAATAATTTCTTCTGATAACTTATTAAGTTACCTTTTAGATATAATCTAAGCTTATACTGTATTTGAACTGGAAATAAAACTTCTCATCACCTAAGCAATATCTACTCACTGGCTTTAAATTTCTTTCACTATCTTTCTCTTATTAACCTTTTTAAAAAACAAAATCAAATTTACCTTCAATAACTATTGTTAGATGATTTATAATTAATCTTCAACATTTTATCTTAAGTTATAGCAAATTTATTTTGAGTAAGTATGATATAGACTACTGTGTGGTATATTTACATATTAATTTAGGCATCATTTTGCTTCCTATTACACCAACCTACCAAGGTATTCACAGGTACAGAAAATGCATCAGAACACTGAGTAGCCTTCCTAAGATTCCTTTACTATTGATGTTTCTATCTTAGTGACTGTAATGGTTTAGATCTTAAATATTCCCCAAAAGTCCATAGGCTAAACGCTTGATTGCCAGTCTGTGGTGCTACTGGGAGGTGATGGAACCTTTAGGAGATAGGGGCTTAGTGGGAGGAAGTTAGGTCACCGGGGCATGCCTTTGAAGGAGATATTGGAACCTAGGTCCCTTACCCTTTTTCATTTTGCTTCCTAGCTGCCATGAAGTAAGCAGCTTTGCTTTGACAAGTGCTCCCAGTTATGATATTCTGTCTCTCCACATGCCCCCCCCCCCCCAAAAAAAAATAGTACAGTCAGCAACCATGGAGAGAAATCTCTGAAACAGGGAGCTAATATAAACCTTTTCTCCTTTTATCTCAAGATATTTTGTTTCAACAATGGAAAACTAACAATAATCTCTTATTTTAATGCTTCTTCCTTTCTTTACACTTAAATGTTCATAAAAATCTTAACATTGATTTTCTACATAAAATATGAAGCTGTCTGTGAAATGACTAATCTACCTTAAGAATTAAGTTTCAAAGATTGTGTTAAAATGTCAAAATTCTATATTCACCAATGAATTCATGCATGATATTAAGTTACAATTTACTTCTTTTTTTTAAACATATCAACATTATTTTGCTAACTTTTAATTTACCTGGGTAAGAGCACTGACTCGGTTCTCACTAGGAAACAAAGGTGGGTCTTCTCCAACTTGAAAATCAAAATATACGGTTTTATGTGTGAAAGTAGAAAATTCATTGCTGAAGCAAAACTTATATGTTCCATTTTTGGAAGCTGTAAAGGTGAAACTATCATACTGTTTCTTCATCTCTTTGTATAACACTTTACCATCAGGATCTTCTAATCGACAATCTACATCATAATGACCGCCAGTAATCACCTATGAGAGAGAGAAAAAAAATCACTGCAACTCATGAGCTTGAGAAATTAGCCAGGTTTCCTGTTAAGATGGTAATAAGGTTATGTATGGGCAAAGGACTTTCTCTGTCAAAGACAATTTTACAGTTTTTAATTTTCATCAGTGGATGAAACTTGAAAGGAGATTTCAATTAAATTAAAGCTTTATAGAAACTGCCCTTTAAACTACTCAGACAACTGTGCTAGTAAATATGAGTCGAACATATCACTTAATTTAGAAAGAAGTGATGAGGAAGAGGCATTAGGTTTGAGAGTTCCTAACTACCATGAGCCTAGGTGAACAAGCTTGTTATTTTTAAGCTTCAACTCTCCTGGTTAACATAATATTTACATTCTACATCCTTATAACAAAGAGGTCAAATTTGGACTTCAAAGAAAGATCTGCTATTTATGTGACCTTTCATCACTAAAGAGAGGTGACAACTAATTGAACTATGTTACAGGATCATTTTGATAATAAAATTATGTACTTAGGGAATTGTAAAAATATGTAAATATTTACATATGAAATGTTTTGAGATTAAAAAAGTGTCTCATCAAGTGGGCATTTATCACACCCCAAAAAAGTCAATAATCTTTTCTCCAGGCAAAAATAATGACTTCATTTTGATATAATCAATTATTCATCCTCAATCATTATATTTTGAGTAATCAAATACATACATAAAAACTGTATAGTATCAAAACTGATCATTACTCCACCTTTCTTTCATCATAACAAACAAATAATCCTATTCCAGTTAATAGTACCCTATTAAACCTCTCTGGTCACCTATGATTGGAACTGCAGATCATCCCAAACTTAAGTGTTCCTACCTGTCCAAACAATGACAGAAATTTCTTGATCTTACTGCCTCTTTCAAATTTGTCCCATTCCTTTTATTTATTTATTTATTTATTTATTTATGTTAGTTTTCAGCAGACACAACATCTTTGTTTGTATGTGGTGCTGAGGATCGAACCTGGGCCGCACGCATGCCAGGTGAGTGCGCTACCGCTTGAGCCACATCCCCAGCCCCTGTCCCATTCCTAATCCACAATACGCTGTTGTTATAATTTCCTAAAAGGTCTTTCCACAATCTAATCTCTTCTCCCCCTAACTCTGGGTTTTTTGCTTTGGCCTTACTCCCATTTTGGGCTGTAATGTAGCAGGGGCTATGCTGTCCTTGCACTTAGTACTCATTTAGAAACCTTTTGACAATTCACATGGCCTACCAAAAATCCCAACCTGTTTAATGGTGTACCATTCTCCTGTTCCTCCTGTAGCCTTGGCATCTCTTTTGTTCATAACCTTGCTCGTTCTGTGTTCCTAAAATACCAGACTACCAGAAGTTCTCTGAACTTTTGCTTCACATCTGCACTGACAGTGGCATTTCAATAACATTTGTTTACTCAAGAATGCTTGCAAATAGATAGTTTACTACAGGTAAAGAGTACAATACAAAACATCATTGACAAAGGCTGTCTGGAGAGGTCAGGTGTGGGCTCCTTTTCTTCCCCGTGAGGTCTGTAGTCAAGATCTCTCTCAGATCAGGAACTATTCTAAAGTGCAAACAATACCTCAGAGCCAGGGAACCCAAAATAGAATGTAGGCTGGGTTTTTAAATACTCTGTTACATAGGCAGGCATATTCTTACTAAGCAAACAGTCTCAATAATAGCCTTTGGCGGGGGAGGGGGCAGTCCTCAAAGAAACCCAGTGCAAATCATCTATCTTGTTGATATGAAAAAATAAAAAATGTTGACAAACTGATACAAATCACCCACAAAGCCCTGAGACCCACATTTACAAAGCAAAACTATTACTATTCAGTGTATTGCAGTACCGCATACAAATTTTGTGTAAGAGTTCAGGCTAATTTCAGGCCTGCTAGAACTCTCAGAAATACATCTGCCTAGAGTGCCCCTTTCTCCTTCCTCTGTCATATCATAGAGCATTTAAATTCTATTTATCCTTCTAGACTTAGCCAAACATCAGCTCCTCAATTAAATTTCCCTTAATGTTCCTTCTGCTCTCTGCCATTGTTCTACCTTGTACACACTTTTATTTTGGCATTTATATAACTCTAATTGTCTATGAAAGCTCTTTGAGGTCAAAGTAACTCTTATCAGGGCTGAGCATGTGGCTCAAGCGGTAGTGCACTCGCCTGGCATGCGTGCGGCCCAGGTTCAATCCTCAGCACCACATACAAACAAAAGATGTTGTGTCCGCCAAAAACTAAAAAATAAATAAAATATTTTTTAAAAAGTAACTCTTATCTTTGTGAGGTAATATAATAAAATAGTTAAAAGTTTAACCTGGGATTGTACAATTGCTTCTGTTGCTTTTAAGTTTGGTGACTTTGGGTCTTATCCAATCTATGCCTGAGTCTCACCAATAAAACAAGAATAAAAACTCTATTTCACATCAAGATTTCCTGCTGGATGTGGTGGCACACACCTGTAATCCCAGCTGCTCAGGAGGCTGAGACAGAAGGATCATGAGTTCAAAGCCAGCTTTAGGGGAGGCTGGGAATATAGCTCAGTTGGTAGAGTGCTTGCCTTGCATGCACAAGGCCCTGGGTTCAATCCCCAGCACCACCAAACAAACAAAAAACCCCCAAAACAAAGCCAGCCTCAGCAATTTAGTGAGGCACTAAGCAACTCAGTGAGACCTTGTCTCTAAATAAAATACAAACTAGGCCTGGGATGTGGCTCAGTGGTTGAGTGCCTCGGAGTTCAATTCCTGGTAACCCCTCAAAAAAAAAAAATTTCTTGAGAATTAACAAATACACCTAAACACTTGGCATACTATATACACATAACAGATGCTAATTTGTTAGCTCTAATAGCATCCTCAACATATAGACAACATCTATATATATATGCATTCAAGAAATGTTTATTAAATTCAAAATAAAGGAAATTTTAGATTACACTTATAGTACAATTCCTGCTATCTTCTTTTTTGTCTCCTGGTCTTAATCCATAAAGTGAAGCAAGCCTAAGAGTTATCCTTAGCCTCTTCTCCCTCAAGCACTATAGCCAAATCATTACCAAGTCCTACTGATTTTACCTATTATTACATTATCTCCAATCCTTTCATTTTACTCCTTCCCCACTGCTACCACTCTAATCTAAGCCTCTATCAGTTCTTGCCTGGACATCACAGTCTCCTCATTAGCCTTACAGGTCTTCTCTGAAACACCTTACCCACCCTTTCTACCTTACTTAAGTTATAATCCATGCATCCTATGTTGATCATATTTTCACTCCTCTATCCTACCTCAACATCACTGAACTACTTAAAACCCTCTGATGGCATCTCATATTACTAAGTAAAACTAAAAAACCCAACATGACCAGCAAGACTCTACATGTTCAGGCCCCTGCTGAACTCCCTTCCTTTGGCTCTTTATTCCTGACCATAATGACCTCTCTGTGGTTCTCAAATTCTCTAGGTTCACTCCTATCATAAGTTATTTCCATCTCTCTTATCAAAGTATTTACAACTCATTCTTTAAAGTTCACCATTAAAATTATTTTCTAAAGGAGCCTTCCATGATTCCAAAGACTAGATCACATATTCCTTATTTCCTGCTCTTAAAATACACTAAATGGGGCACAGGGGCACAAGCCTGTAATTCCAACTTGGAAGGCTGAAGCAGGAAAATTGCCAAGTTCCACGCCACAGCTTGGGAAACTTAGCAAGACCCTGTCTCAAAATAAAAAATAAAAAAGGAGGGGGATGTAGCTCAGGAATAGAGTGCCACTGGGTTCAATCCCCAGTACCACCACAGCAACATCACCACCAACACCAAAAACCAAGTTTGTGAATAGGCAGGTACTAATTAAAAAGGGTAGGATGAGAGGGGAATAAAAAAATGATGACAGCAATCCTAAGTCATTTCTGTATCACCAGGACTTAACCCTCAATAGCTGCTAAAATGCTAAATGAGCCTATGAGTGAAAATTGAAACATTAGTTTTACTCAACTAAAGACATCACATTCTGTTGACTAAAGTTCCTTTTTTTTTTTTTTAACACAATCCCGAAGATGAGAAGGGGCCTCTAATTTATTACAATTTTTTTCTACACCTTTTGCGGATGCTTCTAATGGAGTTCTTAGAATGAGAGAAATGCATTAACCAAGAGTCCTAATATCACCGGAAAAACTGAAAAACAATGAAATAAATACTGGCAGCACCTCAAATCCGATTAAAGTGGAGGTGTAAATTAGAGTGGGTGATTGACATCGGGCATTTTAGAGCAGGTATTGCTTTTTTTTTTTTTTTAAGGAAATCTTTTAAGAAAGTAAGTTCAATAGGCTTTAAAATGAAGGACACAGAAGAATGGGCAAAAAAAGTCACAGCTAGCGGAAGCATTTCTGGAATTCACATATCTTAATATCCGGTCTTAAATGTCTCCTGTCCAAGGTTTAGAAAAGGAAAGCCAAATGCCCTGCATCAGCTACCTAGAGGTGATTCTTGAACTAGCCAAAGAACGGAGAAACGCGGACAGGAGGGAGGCACCCCTGCAGGTTACAGTCGCGACCCAGGAGCCGCGGCGAGCTGGGGCGCGGGGCCTCTCAGGCCCGTGGTACCTGGAACTCGAGGGTGCACTTGGTGCCCTGTGCTATGTCCTCGTAGAAGCACTGCTTGGCGTTGTCCGGCAGCTCGAAGGTAATTTCGGAGGCGCCGCCGGGCCCCGTAACCAGCAGCAGTAGCAGCGCGAGAAGCCAGCAGCCCCAACGGCCGGCGGCAGCCGCCCAGCCTTGCGCAGACCCCGGCCGTGGCATCCCGAGACGGCGGCGGCCTCGACGGAGCTGCGCTGAGACGCGGGGTCAGGTCTGCGCGGAATCACCGCGCGCGGCAGGCCTCAGTCCGAGGCGCCCTCAGAGGACGCACGCAAGAGCCGTCTCGAGTATCAGGGAGGTGTGGGGTGACAGCAAGCCGCCGGATTCGGAAGAGGGGCGCGAAGGGGCTGGGCCACGGTCAAAGAACCACCCGGAGAGTAAGGAGAAAGCCTTCAGAGAAACAGCGGAAAAGGCCTGAGATGGCCGGAAGTGGGAGTAAGGGCTTGAAGGGAAGGGGCGGGGCCTGAGGCACCTGCTCCAGCGACCCGGATGTGTTCTCAAAGGAGGAAAGGCACTGGAGTGTGTACGTGGAAGCCCGGGAGGCGTCCTCGGTGCCTTCGCTGCAACTCGGGACGAGGGGCGGGGCCATCGTAGTAAATGGGTGGGGAGGGGCCAAGAGAGGGGGTAGGGCCGACCATTGCATTGGAGGTGCCCGTCGGGGTACCGCTCAACTTTCAGGAAGCAAGTAATTATGTGCTACTGGGTTTTGAGTGTCAGGGAAGCTCTGAGTGAAGCTCTGAGGCTGGTAGTAGAGCGCTTTGCAATTTGCAGAGTTTTCCTATAAGTAATAATTAATGTTTTAAGTACGTAGCCTGGCAAAGACTGCAGACTGCGAGGGTTCTAATTCTTGCTCTCTACCTCCTGGCCATCTAACCTTGGGCCGGTTGCTTAAACACTCTGCCTCAGTCTTTGCATCTGTTAAATGAGAATAATGATAGTATCTACTATGGAGGATTATTATAAGATTTCATTATTTGAAAAAAGCACCTGAAAGAGTGGTTGGCACATGGCAAGCATTAGATAAGCTTTTTAAAAATAAAAATAATCATTTATTGAGCATACCTATCATCAAGCACATTCCACTTTTCAAATAACCCAAACTAGTTAGTTATTAAGGATATATTTCTGATAAGGACCTTAAGGATCAAAAAAGTTGAGTTAAGTGACATACGATTATACCACTGGTTTGTGTTGGAGTGCTTATAAATTAATAGAAGGTAGTGTTAATAATTGTAGCTAACGTGTGCTGTTTCTTAACAGTGCATTATACATTTTCTCATGCATTTTACACGAATTAGGTATAAATATTATTTAAATAAATGACCACTGTGGGCTCCAGTCATGAGAGGTTTGAGTAGAAGATTTTATGAGAAGGAAATAGCAGTAGATAGATTGGAGTCAGGCAGGGAAGTGAGGGTTGGGAGGTTGAAAAGTCAATGAAGTTGGGCTGCTTCTTGGTCTGGGGCACCCATATTGTCTACGGTGGGGGAAAGAAGTAGAATATACCTGAAGTCAAAGTCCTTAGCTGCTGGGAGGCAATTTGGGCAAACAAACCTTCTTGAGAACCTGGCCAGTAACAGAACGTGTTGGGGAGTGGAAATAAGACTGAATTTGAAAACAGCAAATGTGGGTTCTGTTTACTAACTGTGACCTTGAGCAAGTAACCTTGCTCTTTTAAAAGATCTCAGTTTTTTTCCTACATAAAATGGTGATACAAAGGAACTAGCAAAACAGAATGAATAAGATTAAAAAAGTAATATGATATAGATCATATATCCCTAAAAAGGCAAAAATTTTCAAGTATAGCACTACCAGATATCATTAAGCATATAGAGCAAAAAAATCTCTCTGTGCTGCTAGTGGAACAGTAAATTGGTACAATCATTTTGAAATGCAGTATGGCATTATCTAATAAGTATAAAATATATATATGTGTGTGTACACACATACACATATACACATATTTGAGAGAGTGAGAGAGAAAACACACATGGAAATTCTACTTTACATATATTTTAGAGTGTATACTTTAGAGCAGTGTTTCTCGAAGTATCTTCTGAATACCCTTGGAGCCTCTCAAACCCTTTCAGAGGGTCTATAATTATCTGTGTGAGGCTGGATTTTTTATTACATGTGTCAGCTGAAACAACGTGTTATAACAGAGTGAATGTAAAAGGAGATAAGCACCTATCTTCTATGAATCTGGATGCAAGAGATTTATAAATATATAAAGTAATGTCTCTCTTCTCATTAAACTTTTATTTGGCAAATATAGCTATACTTCATTTTTAAATATGTTATTGGTGTAAATATCTGTAATGGTTTGAACTGTGTCCTGCAAAAAACATACATCCTAACCATTATTTCTGTGAATGTGACCTTATTTAGAAGTAGGATTTTTGTATGGCAATATGTAAATCAATGGATGTGTAACTGATGTGATTCTGCAATCTGTATATGGGGTAAAAATGGGAGCTCATAACCCACTTGAATCAAAGTGTGAAATATGATATATCAAGAACTATGTAATGTTTTGAACAGCCAACAATAAAAAATTAAAAAAAAATAGAAGTAGGATTTTTGCAGATATAGTGAAATTAAAAATTTCTAGATGAGATTTTTGTGGATTTAGGGTGATCCTTGAATTTAATAACTGGTGTTCTTACACAAGAAAAGAGGGAGACTTAAGACACACAGAAACGCTTGGGAAGAATGCCACATGAAGACAAAGTTATGATGTGTGTGTAAGTCAGGAATACCAAAGATTGTCCACAGCCATCAGGAGTTAGGAAAGAGGTTTGAAACAGCTTGTCCTTCAGAACTTCCAGAAGGAACCAACATTGGTTATACTGTAATTTTGGAGTTTTGGCCTCCACAACTGTGAATGAATAAGTTTCTGTTGTTTTAAGCCATCAAGTGTGTGATTATTTGTTATGAGATTTTCAGAAAATAAATGTAATATGCAATGAATTGGATGTTATTTTACATGAATTATTCAATAAATACTTAATTTAAATGTCTCAGAACTCAATAAGTTTTTCATTTTAAATGTATTAATTTTAAAACTTTTTTTTTTATTTTTAAGGTACTGAGACTGAAAAATGTGAGAGTCACTGCCTTAGAGAAACTCATGCATAGGTATACCAGGACACGTATACAAGAACAGAGCCAAGGCCTTGTAATAGTCCTGCTATTTTGGATTGGAAGTGTCCCCCCAAAATGCATATTGTAAAATATGCCAGTGTGGCACTTTTGGGAGATGGTGGAAACTAAGAGATAGGGCATACTGGGTGGTCTTTAGGTCATCAAGGGAATACTCTCAAATCAGATTGTGTGAGCCCAGACCCTTCCTCTTCCTCTTTCTTCTTTTTCCCCTGGCCATCACATGAGCAGTTTTGTTCTTCTATGTACTACTACTGTGCTGTACTATCTTGTTGAAGACCTAAATGAAACAGAACTAACCAATCATGGACTGGAGCCTCCAAAACTGAGTCAAAATAAATTTTTCTTTTTATAAGTTGATTATTTCAGATATTTCTTACAGTGACCGTGTTAGCCAGGTTTCCTTCACTGTGACAGAATACCTGAGAAAATCAGCTTGGAAAAGGTAAGATTTATTTTGACTGACAGTTCAGGAGTTTCAGTTCAGATTTGGCTGGCTCCGTTGTTTCTGGGCCTAGGTGGGCAGTTCATCATGGCGAAGAGTGTGGCTGAGCAAAGCTTTTCATCTCATGGCCATAGGGGAACAGAAAAAGCATCCAGGAGCAAAACATACCCTTCAAAGGCATTACTTCCAGTGACCTTCCTCCAACTAAACCCTACCTCCTAGCAGCCTACTCAGTTATGAATTCATCAGTGTATTTATCCATTGATGAAGTCAGCATCTTCATGATCCAGTCACTTCTGAACATTGCTGAACTGGAGACCAAACCTTCAACACATGAACCTTTTCAGGGACATTCTGGATCCAAACCACAATAGTGATGGAAAACTGACTAACCTAAGTCCCAACTGGAAATACATCAAACATCCATAAATTTGGATATATTTATAAAATAAGACATAATAGCAATGAAAATGAACACATTATAGCTACATAAGACAGCATGTGGGAATCTTACAAATATGAAAACTAGACAAGAAAGAAATTATGCAGAGAAAGGCTGACAATAAAGCTAAATAGGCCTGTTTTCCCTAATATGTTGAGAAAGTATACAAAAAAGCAAGGGAATGATTATCTCAATGGTCAGGAGAATGGGATGGATGGGATTAGTAAGTAAGAAATGACAAAGAGTAGGGATAGCGGGCAGCCTCTTTCATGCTAGTGGTGCCATTTATCTTGACCTATATGGCAGATACAGAGATGTATACTTTCTAATTATTTATTAAGCTTGAATATGATCTATGTGCTTTTACTATGAATATAGTTCAGCAGAAAGGAAAGAAAATTTAATATATTGGATGCATCAGTTAATCATTATTATGGGAAAAAAACACCTCAAAACTTGTGACTTGGGACAACTGTATTTATCATCTACTAGTAGGCCAGCTGGGTGGGTCTGGTTTCAGCTGAGCACATTCATCCTCTGTGGTCAATTGAGTGTTGAGCAGGTGCATTGCTGAACTTTGCTGTACTCATTCATATCTGGGCAGAAGAGCTAGCTATAGGCTGCTTTAAGATGATCTTTCTTGGGTACAGTTGGACTCAGTTCTTGTAGGAGTCGTTCCTTCTCCAATAGGCTAGTCCATGATTATTCTATGATGGTTCCAGGGGTTTCAGGAAAGACAATGTACAAGACCTCTTAAGGCTAGTGCTCAGAAATGGGCCCTGTCACTTTTTCCTCATTCTATCATCCAAAAGTCACAAGGCCAACTCAGATTCAAGGGTTGCAGAGAAGCTGCAAAGACACATTGTCAGTCAGGGTTTTATTAGAGAAGCAGAATCACTAAAGACCTAAACAGATAATCATGCACATATATAGAATATATTTGTATACACATAATAGCTGATTAAACAGTCTAAAGGTGGCTGTTCCTTCTTTATCTGATTCTGTATTCTGAAGTCTACAAATAACAGACACAATCATGAAAGGAAGAAGAATGTGAAGTGGGAAAAGGAGAAACTAAAACCTGGGAGGATAGGCCATACCCACAGCACTTTCTCACTGTATCCAAGCTCCAACTTTGATGATAGGTGAACTGCAAGAAAACCTGACTTTCTTTCTGTGTGTGTGTGCACACACACATGCACACACCTTGAGAGCCAGAGACTCTTCAGGCATAAAAAAGAATATTGCAATTGTAATGCTGTACTACCTTTTGAAGACCTAAATGAAATAGAACCAACCAATCATGGAAGAGAGCCTCCAAAACTGTGAGCTAAAATAAATTTTTCTTTTTCATAAGTTGACTATCTCAGATATTTCTTATAGCAACTGTATTAGCCAGA